TTGTGTGGCAGTATGAAAACTTTGGTCTAAAAGTGATGGGGATCCTGTACAGGTGAACTCAGTGAATCACTGTTAGTTTGGATAATAGGCTCTGCTCCTGTTTGACAGTATTTTTAAAATTAAACATTGCTCTCAAGTGAAAAATACACAGGTCTTTATTTCTGGACAAAGAAATCGGAAAGGTGGTTTTTATTTTGTCATTTAAAAGAAACAGCTCTCATTTTTCTAGTGTCAGATATTTTTTTACATAAAAGGCACTGACAGAACTGAGATGTCAGGTGCATCATAATTCTCCTTATGTTATCTGTGGAACATTTTGTCTAGGAGATTGCTGCAAATGGCAGGCCTTTTCAAGCAGTGTATTTTAAGTGGGGTTTCTTGTTCAGGAAGTACATAAGCAACTCCTTAATGTCACTTTTCCCCCCCCTCCCTGGGTTTGCCTGGAGAGGGAGGGTTTGTGAGGCAGTAATTGGTGAACACTAGGCCAGGAGCTCACAGACAGCAACCAGCTCTTAACCTTGGTACCTCTGCAGTTAAACTGTAAAAGACAATTGTATTTAGCCTGCCTGAATGTTTAACCCATACTAATTAAGGTCTCTTTCAGAGTTGCAGACTCTGCCTTGCCAGCCCTTAATTGAAGGTACTTTTGTATCCCAGTGCAGGTGAATTTGAGGAATTACATTAATGAATAGAGTCAACATGTTAACTTGGGCTAGGTAAACACCTGCTTCTTCATGTAAACTAAGTCCTAAGTGTGACCTATTTTGAGCATCATTCTGAGGTGAAGCCATTACGCATCCAGTTTTTTTGAGTTGGCGTGATAAGAAAATTAACAGCAAAATGGTTTTTCAGTTTTTCAAATAAATTACTTCATGATAGATTGTTAAGATGAACCAAAAGTTAACAGTTCAGTGCTAGAAATGTATAGTTTGAACTAACCTTTGTGAGTTGATACCTGTTTTTAAATCACTTTTCAGTTGATCTTCCTCCCTTTTTTAGGAAAATCTAAGACCTTTCTGTAACTTACACTGATTTGAAGCTTGATTTGGGAGAAATTTTGGGGTTCTGAATGTGTTCCTACAAGACTCAGTATTGGGTACTAAGGAACTAAACTGAAGACGTTATATAATTCTTAGTGTTTTGTAAATAAATGTCTTTTAGGTGGGCTCATAAAAATCTTGTTTGCAGCCCTTGTCGTCAAGACATTAGGCTATACAGCATAATCTCTTTTTCTTCTCCTAGTTTGGTTTGACCACCTTCCACTCCAGAAATTATTTTATAAATTGCAGCATATTAAAATTTTTCAAAAAGAGTGATTGTATTAATAGTATTTGCTCTTCAAGACTGTAAACTTAAGAAGGTGTGAGAACATTTTTCCTTGAGAAGATACAAGTGTTTAATTTGTTGCTGGTCTCCATTTCACTTTTGTAGATGGCCCTGAGTAGTTGAAATTTTAAGAAACTAGAATAAAAGCTTATATTAGTATCTAATGACTCTTCCCCACAATTTTTTTTTTTTTTTTAAACAAAGGTATGAGGGTGCTGGTAGATGCTCGAGAGAAGCTTCATATTCCTTGGGGAGATAATGAAAACCAGCTACATGGAGACAAGTTGATGGCGTTTGACACCCGGGCCCCCTTGGCTGCCCAGGGAATGGTGGAAACACGGGTCTTTTTACAATATCTTCCTGCTATAAGAGCCTTATGGGCAGACAATGGTATACAAAATGCCTATGACCGGCGACGAGAATTCCAACTGGTAAGATATTTGATTTTTTTAAAATGTGGTTTTATTTTAATGACTAAATAATATTTGATTTAGCATGCATTTTTCACTGACTTCCACAATATAATGTATCTGTCCAAAATTATAGCCTCAGTTGTTTGTATTGCTGTATGAGCAACGTGAAAAAAAAAGGCAAATTAATGAAGCTATCATAGTGGTCATTCTCTTTTTTTTGTTGGGAGGGTACCAGGAATTGGACCTGGGGACATTTAACCACTGTGCCACAGTCCCACCCCTTTTTATTTTTTAATTTTGAGGCAGGGTCTTGTTAAGTTGCTTAGTGCCTCACTAAGTTGCAGAAGCTGGCTTTGAACTTGGGATCCTTCTGCCTCAGCCTCCCAAGTTACTGGATTACAGAAATGTGCCACCTTGCCCTGCTTCTTTTTTCCTTTTTGAAAGTGAGGTCGTCATGATTTTCATAGGCACTTTCTTCTAATTTTGTTCTCGTTTTGAAACTAATTTTCTCCCAACCCTAGCAACAGTGTTCATCTTTCTGAAAAATTGGCCTTTTATTCTTGGAATAAGAGTTCAGTAACTGGAACTTAGTACAAGTGTGCTCTTTACTCTTTAGGCATACTCATGATACATACCTCGATATGCAGAGATTAAAATGTTTATTAATGTTAACAATAATTGTACTTTTCTCTTTGCATTTTTGTGTTTTCTTAAGGACCTGAGGTTCATGTTATAGTTCTTTTATTTTTTCCACAATTAAAAAATGCTTTTAGTGTAGATGGACACAACATTTTTATATTATTTTATTTATTTATTTTTATGTGGTGCTGAGGATCAAACCCAGTGCCTCATACACTACTAAGCAAGTGCTCTACCACTGAGCTATAATCCCAACCAGCCCTTTTTTCCACATTCTTTACTTGTGCATTATAGTTGTACATAATGATGGGGAAAAAATGTTTCTTATTAAAAAGCAATATTTTTTGTACCTAGGCTTCACATGGGAAACAAATTATTTTACATTTAATTTTCCTCCTTGGTCTTAGACAAGAGTAATTAGTAGCTATTATACAGCACTGAAGAAGTGTAGAAAAGAAAGGCTGAATCCAGGTTAAAGATACAAAAATAATAATTGAGAGATTTTTAAATCAAATGTTTTATAATTTAGTTTTAAATGCCTTGTATTCTGGGTTTTATTTGCCAAAGACCAGAAAGAATCCAACACTGATAGTAGTCCAGACCATACGCACTTTGGAGATAGTTCAAATCTGAAGTGTTCTACTATAATATGATTAAAATAAAGTGACAGTTAAAAGTAAAACCGCTTAGGAAGTTGATGATGTCACCAACATTAAAGTGATCTTCACTTATGGGTGTGGCTATACAAGGATGTACAGCCAACAGGCTTTGCTGTTACAGCTTGTACTCAGAAGCAATCTTAACCAGTCAAAGTTCTAGAAAAGTGTTCCTGGTATCTTTTTATAGAACAGATACCTTAAACTGACATTCATTGAATTATGGCTCTTGCTTGTATCATATAACTACAGTTTGACTCTGTACTATCTAGTACTATCTGCTTTTGTGTAGGTATCTTGTCAGACAGTTTGTTCATTTCTAAAAGTCAGAGACTGTCTCAGGTTATTGTTAAAATTCAGAAGCTGGCAGTATGCATGTTGAAAATTATGAATTTAACTTGACAGGTGGCTTCCATCCAATTCCCATATTTCTGGTTGGTTTTTGCTCGGGCCAGTGTTATTTTATTTTCACTAGGCCTGTTCGAATGCATTCCTTAGCTTACCTTTTCTCATTTCCCTTCTCCATCCCTCTAGATTTTAAGTGCTACTTGTTGTTCTTAGTTCATTTCTTGACAGACCACATTTTCAGCTCTTAAGTTTTCTCAGGCTCTTACTCATTCATCTTTCAAGGTCAGGAAAGAAACAGCCATCTGTAATAACCATTCAGTACATATTGAATGAATAAACAAACAACTCTGTACCTGAAAGTTCTCTGTGGGAAAGTTCCTTATTTTCCCTAAGTCCGTCTAATTGAAGTTGGGCTTTCACATCTTAGTCACACATTAGGACTCATGTTGTTGTTGATAAAGATGCCTAAATATTTCTTTTTCATTGAAACTAATAGATAAAACTACTTAAGATGAAGACTGGCATGCCCTTGACTTGAGCCAGCTAATGCTTCAGGAGCTAAGAAGTTTAAAAGGCAGGCAATAAAAATCCTTTTTTCTTAAGAAAAAGTAAAGGCACAAAAAAAGAGGAACAAGGTGAGATTTAATTTTAAACTGGAGACAGTATTTTTTACCTGGGTGTATCCTTGGCATTGTTAATAGAACTGGCCTGTATAGTAGGTGCTTTATTATTATGTTGCCTTAATGACTTTTAAACTTTTGGATTCTTCGTAGTGTTGAGCACTGAAAAGATTCTTGGTTTATTTAAAATTTTCCTCAAAATTATTGTTAGTTCCCTCTAATTGTCTCCATACAGCAAATCCCCAATCCTGTTCTTTCTTTGTTCATAAAGTCTCTTGCATCCATTTCCTTCTTTTTTTGGTACTGGAGATTGAACCCAGGGGCACTTAACCACTAAGCCACATCTCCAGCCCTTTTTATATTTTATTTAGAGTCCTTTCGAGTTGCTTAGGACCTCTCGAAGTTGCTGAGGCTGGCTTTGAACTAGCCATCCTCCTGCCTCAGCCTCCCTAGCCACTGAGATTGCAGGGGTGTGCCACCAGACCCAGCCATTTCCTTCTTTCTTCCTTTACACATTATTGTCCTTGTTCCTCTTGTGTGAATTCCAAAGTAATCTTGTTTAAACACAGCATGGCATTGCTCAGAAAGCTTTGACCATTCTTGCTTGCCTTCAGAACACAGCTCAGCCTCATTGTGGGAGTCAAGACTCAAGTAGCTTACCTATGATTCCAACACGGGATTTCATTAGGCTGCCGAACACACTCTGGAACCTTTTTTATTTATTTAGGTATGGGGAGTTGAACCCATGGATGCCTAACCGCTTACCTTTTTATATTTTGTTTTGAACTAGTGATCCTCCTGCCTCAGCCTATGGAGTTGCTGGGATTACAGGTGTGTGCCACTGTGCCTGGTGCCCTGTACAACCTCTTAATAACCACATGCTCTGATTCTCTTGTTTCCATAAAACTCCTCATGTAGTCCCTTTGTGAGAACCCTATCTGTTCATCAGCTCTTACCCTTTCACTGAGAGCAGTAGTAATCAAATTTTAATGTGACTAAATGTGGTCTGTGGATCCCTTGCTTCGGGTTTACTGGCATGCTCATTAAAACAAAAAAGTAGATTCCCAGACTCCATGAGGATCTGGTTCCAGAATCAGATGAGACCCAGTCATCTGTATTTTAAGCAAATGACCATAGATAATTTGGATGAACTTGTTCCCATCACATCCTTCCCCTGACGTGTCTTAGGAAAATGTCTCACTTGAAGCCTCCCAGTCCCTGAGGCTGGAATGTGTCTCCCTGTGCCCTCTGGTCTCCCAAGTGTGCTTGCTGCTTACATTCTCAAAGCCCTCCTGTGCCTTAGAGTTGCTTGCATTCCTGTTTGTCCCCTGGCTGATGCAGAAGAAGCCCCATGGCTTGCCTCCTTAGTCTTTTTCATGGCCTAACACTTGATTTCCTCATTTTTAGTGACATTCTAAATTATAGAGAGTCTTCTAGGGGAAAAAAAAAGAAGAAAAAGAAACATTCTATATTAAGTTACTTCTGGGAAATATAAATCATGTCCTTACAGTAGTTTGAATTTTCCAGGAAATGAGAAGTTTTTGTATCATATAATCATATATATATATATATATATATTTTTTTTTTTT